CTTATTAACACATGATTGGAAACTCACTAAATGTTGAATTCACGTACAAAAAGAGCAACAATAGTGACCCAAAAAGAAACTAGAAAGGTGGAAATACTAAATACAAAAGCAAAAATTAATAAGTTAGAAGATAAACAGAACTTATAAATGAAACAAAGAACTGGATTTTTGAAAAGACCAGTAAAATAGATAAACATCTGGCAAACATTACTGAAAACAAAACAAAACAGTCAGGAATAAGAACGGAATCTATCTATATAGATTTAAGAGAAAACATCAGACCTATACATACTGACATACATACATACATATACATCTAAATGAAATCAAATCTAAATCTATATACATTTTTAAAATTGACTCCGGAAGAGATAGAAAACCTAAAATGTTAATTGTCAAAATGTGGAAAGCTTATCTAAAACTTGCTCAGATATATGGTCAGCCTACTATAGTCATATTCACCAAATCTTCAAAATAATAAGTACTGAGGTTAAACAATAAAACATGGCTAAATACCACCAATTTTGAATGATTTAACCTAATTCTATACTAAACAATTCCAAAAGCAAAGGAAAACCTAAAAAGCTTTCTAATGATTTTGTGAGCTAACCTTACCTTGATAGCCCATATGCACAAAAGCAAACTATGTAACCAATCTCATTTAAGAGTACAGAGACTAAAATCCAGATTGAAATTTAGTATATTGAATTTGGCGGCATCATGACTACATGAGATTTTACCAGAAAGCAATACAACATAATGGTTAAGAGCCCATGAGTCTCATGACCCTGAATTTAAATTCTACCCCCAACACATACCAGCAATGAAATGTTCCTTTAGTTCTTCTCTAACAGTTTCCTCAACCACAACGTGCAGGGGAAAAAAAAAACGAAAACAATACAAAACAGTGCTCACCTAATAATTTGGGAAGATTAAATGAATAAAAAGTTTTAAAAAAATCTAAGCACAATTCCTTAACATAGGTATATATAACATATTCCATATATGTTATCTATTACAATTTTTGTGTTTATTTTTGACATACAAATTAGCACATCGGTCATTGAAAAAGGAAAAAGAAAAAGGCATTTTATAAAGAATTAACATCTAAATCTTATTTCAAAACATTAAGACTGTAAGGAAATCTCCATATCATAATGAAACAATACATAACAGAAACTAACACTAATCCTAGCAGTATTCTGTAATCTTAGCTAAGGCAATAAAAAAATGAAAAAAGAAGTATTAACAAGGAATAAGTCAGAGCGAGAATTACTTGCAAATGACATGAACTATATACATAGAATATTAAAGAAAATCAACAGAATATTTATTAAAACTGATGAGACTTCATTAAGGCAGCTGGATACAATGTTAGTATACAAATCAAAATTAGGTGAGATGGAGGAATAAGGAAATAAGCAGCTGGATCCCGGTCTCTGCCCAAACCAAGTCTTATGCTAACAACAACTTAACTATTTAGTACCAAAGAACCTCCCTTTTATGTAATGTTTACAGTGATTTACATAACATTCACTGTCCTTTGAAATGCTATACTGTGTTTTTACAACTTTAAATGATAACTAAATTAGAAAATACTACATAATTTAACTAAAAAATTTACCCTGGATCCAGCTTGTATTGTTTTCCAAGTTTTGCTTTAACTCTTAAAATTGGTTGATCTGTGACATCCGTACCACATGACCCCCACTGTAATTAAATGAAAGTTGACCGCTGATCCATAAAATTCCTTCTGCCTCATCCTCTAGTATTTTTTTGTCCTCCCTGTCCAGAAATAAATGCATGCTTAGCTCCACTAAACACTCAGATCTAAAAGAGTTGCTCATGTCTAATCATACTAACTTTAAGGCTTTAAGGGAAGATTCAGAGGCAATTAAAGATTTGCCCAAGTTCAGAGAAAGGTGATTTAGACCCAACCCACACCCTTCAGTCTTTTCACTACACAGCCTTTATTCCAACAGTAGTCCACTGTTTCTCAATAATTAAATCTTGAGATTCAGTTAGGAAACTAAAATAACTACTACGCTTACATTCCTTTTAGAAAATATTCGCTCATTATTTCACTCATCAAATATTTACTGAAACCTACTATGTGCAAGAAACCATTCTAAGCTCTAGGGTGAAACAAAATAGGCAAAATACCTGCCTTTATGAATCTTATATTTTATTCAACTCAGAAGGATGCATTTAATGTAACAGTACCCAACTCACTTCCCTCTATAAATCAATTTGGTCCCTGGGAGGAAGCCTTCTATCACTGCCCTAAAGAATCCTCATTTGGGACCTGAAGCTATGTATGTATTAAATTTTTGAGATCTAAGGATGCTACACTTCGGTAAAATATCAAGCACAAATGTTGAGGATACCTGTTCAAGACCAAAATTATGAACAGGATTTAACCAACTCTACCTAATCTGTATCGCCTAAACCTTAGAAAAGCAGCTTTCTGCAGTTTTACTACATCTCATAACTCCCGCCATGGCCAAACTTCATCAATCAAGCAAAGAACACATCAGAGGAAAAGACAGCCAGCCCCTTGCCTTATACCGTGACAAGCTACTTTGCAGGTGAACAAAAGACCTATGAAAGCTTTGTGTTGTGCTGCTTAAAAAAAAAAAAATTATTAATCATCCTTCTGGAAGAAAAAAAAAGAATCTTGAAAATATAGAAAACTGTTCCAACCACCAGAATAGAACTACATACATAAAACTAATATGCATGTGTATTCACATACATATTTTTTTTAAGGGAAGCGGAAAATAGGCTAAAATTTTGGTCATGCAATATGCACTAGACACTTCTTGTTTTCCTGATAATTCATAAAGTTTCTAAGTGAAAACAAAGAGTTTCACTTTTGTTTCTTCTAAAGTATGAAAGTCACCTCCCAGTTACTAACTTACAGTCCCCTTCCTAGTTACTAATTTGGTGAATTTAAATCTATCAATTTATTTGTAGTGGATGGTTTAAAGTACTTATACCTACATAAATATTTTTAAAGTTATATATGAGTAACAGAGTAAAAGTATATTAATGTGAAAAGCAAACATTGTTTCTTTTCAAAAAACCCATAAATACCATTATGGAAGTATAAAAATAAATGCATAATATTGCTCTAAGAAAAATTTACCAATATCTCTAAAATGATTTGATATACACACTAACAATAGCATCATAATGGTACTATTTTGGATTAAAAGCTACTCCCTTTGTGTAAGGAGGGGGCTCATTAAACTAGGAAACTGGATTTGATGGCCAAGATCATTTTCAGTAATTTGATTCTAGACCCTACATTTTATGCATAAACCTCTGAACCAGGCAGACCTGCATTATCTGCTTCTATGCTAAAGAAGTACTTTAGTCAAAATCAACTAAAAAAAAGCACAAACTTCTTGCCATTGTTCAAATTTAAAAGATGTGAAAAATAGAAGCCACATTTCCCACTTTCAAACACATCAGGCTTTAATATTCAACTCTGAAGTGAACTATAAACAAAAATGATACCAAACTTATTAAATACTGCTTAGCATACATATGAACACAAGATCCTGCTCTAAGTATTAACACTTTATCACATACTTAACATCAAAAACTAAAGTTTAAGGTATTCAAAACAGAAGAGGAGGATTAGGAGATAAACTGTCCTAAACTCCCATTATTAAATCTAGAATTATTTCACTGTCAATACACTGCAGTCTGCAACAATCTTCTGAATTTACCAGTAACAGTTAATTTGCACAAGAATTCCAAAGACAACTTTCCCAAAGTGCCTAAAATAACAATGCACTATCCTTGCTTTCCAAAATTCTTGAGCATCTTCAATTACCTCAAGTACTATCATAGAATTCTAAAAATAATCTCAAAGCAAAATCTTAGCAGACAGTGAGTGTATAGATAGCCCACTTTAGGACTGCAGGCCTTAGTCTGAGACCAAGCACAGGTAGGATACAAACTACGCCAAAACTACAACAGGGTGGGGCATTCATTACTCGCCCCGATAAACCAAACACAGCTTTGATAGCTGCTCACAGTAAACTCTAGTTACCCCCCAAATTCCAACACTACTAAAGCAATGTTTTCCTTTTGCCCAAAATGCTTTTCACAAAATGACCAAAAAAAAAAAAAAAGTCATAGCCAACAACTCTTCAGGATATGGTGCAAGCCATGATAGTGCACTTGAGATTCTGAAAACAAAATCTCGAATAAAAGAAACATCTCTCACCACTCACTGTAAAAGACCTGAAGCTTCACATAGATGTTATTTTTTTTACTTAAGTGAGTGACCATTTGAGTATGTGACTGAGGCAAGAGTAAAGGGTGAAGGATGAAATAAGGTCAAACAGGGGACAAAAGATTCCTGGAATAAACATAGTCAGAAAGGTTTCCTTTCTTAGGGACAATTTCTATATGCAGAGAGAAAGAAAACAGAAGGAAAAAGAACAAACCAAATTCTCTACTTCTACAGAAAGTACACCTGGTAAATGTACCTGCTCCGCCAGGCAGGCAATTCAATTCTAGTGGAGACCCCTTTTACACAATAATAGGCTTGGAATGCTCCCACCTTCGAAATACAAATTGTGTGCGGGAAGGATGACAACTGGTTATTCTTTAAAAAAAAAAAAAAAAAGCGGGGGGAGAGGAAGTGAATAAAGTTTAATTCAGAAGCCCTAAAGAGTGTAGGAATGCGAGGGTCGCTCTCAATACATAGCCGGCACTTTCTGCTACAGGAAAACAATCGGCAAGAAGGAAGTGGATTGAAACCCACTAACTACACACCACTTCCCACACGCAACGTCGCACTGGGCGCGACGCCCCTAAAGGCGACCGGCAGGGGCGACGGGTGGCGGGGAAGCAAGCCCCGGGCAGCCGAGGCCCGAGTGGCAGAGGGGGAAGGCCGGGGAGCTCCCGGCCCAGGCGGGTGAGGACAGCACGTCGGAAGGAGGAGCGGGGCCCGGCCGCGCCGGCTCCCGGACTCGCCTCACCTTCTGCGCCGCGCTCTGCTGCAGCACATTCTGCTCCACGGTCATGGCCCCCGCGGCGCTGGTGGCGACACAGGCGGCGGTGTGCGGCTCCTCGCGCCTCCGCCGGCCCTGGCAGCCGCGCTCCGCCGAGCTCCAGGGAGCCGCGCGGACCGCCGGGGAGTACAGCGCCCCCGCCAGCCAGGCGCGAAGGCGATGGCGGCCGGCGTGCGCGGGCACCGCGGGCTGACGGCGAGGCGCGGACAGCGAGGGCCACGGCGGCGGCCCCACGACTTCGCGCGGCCAGCCTCAGCGCGGCTTGTCCGCCGCGGCCGGGGCCATGAGCCGGCGGCCGACGCCGGGGCGCGGGAGGGCGCGAGCAAGCCGGGCCGCGTCACGCGCGCGCGCTCCTTCGCCGGCGGCTCGCGGGCCACAGGGGGAAGGCAGAGGGAACGGAGGGAGCAGCGGACCGGAATGGCGCTGTTCTCCTCCCTCCGCGACTCCTCCTCCCCTCCCCTCCCGCAACTGCCGTCACCTCCCCCGCCCCGCGGCTCCTCCCCCGCCGAGCCCCGCCCGCCCGCCGCCCTAACCCTATATTGTGACCCGCGGGGCGGTGGGATGGGGCGGGGCCGGACCGCCTTGGAGCCCCGCCCCCCAACCCCGGCCCCGCCCCGCCTTGCGCGGGCCCGGCGTTCCCGGGGTGGGGCGAAGGCGCGCCCCGCGGGCCTTGTCTCGGAGCCGCCCCTGCGGCAGGTTGCGCGGTGCCTGCCCTTCGCCCTGCGAAGCTCCAAGCCGAGGCCGAAGGACAGCGTTCTCTCTGTGCCCAGGACTTGTCGGATCGCCAGCTTTCCGAACTGCGCCAAGACATAACCTTTCCTCTTGAGCCTGGTAACGTTCCAAAACCGTGCTGGGTGCCGAACCCGGGCTCCTTTCTATGTCTCCGGTCCTCTCCGCTCGCCTTTCTAGGAATTTCACAAGCAGTAAACTTGCCCGAAGGGAAAAGTCAAGTGTGATTTAAGCAAAGGGCTGTCAGAAGTCCTTATTCTAGAATATACTTTTCTCCTTAACTAATCATTACATAAATGAATATTGACATTCTCCGTCTACTTCGTTCATGCAAACGCTGCGAGGCTCTGGAGAAATAAGGTTTATTTCCCGAAGATTGGATAAAAATGAAATATGGTCTATACAACACACAACACAACAAAAATATCACTGCCCAGATGGTACATAATTCTAATATACCAGTTGCCAAATAAGTAGCAATTAACCTTCCGGCATGGAATTCTTGACCGTATATGGAACTGCAAGAAAAACTTAACATCGAGAAAGCGATCTCTACCCTCAAAAAAATCTTGAGCTTCACGAGCTAATCTGGGCATAGGAGGTGAGGGTGCGGCAGTGAGGGGGTAGAATAATCAATGCAAATTGTCACAAATGCAATACACACATATGCAAATCCGGGTATAATTTTTAAACTGATGGCAAGAAAAGCAAGCTTAGAAAATGATCACTGAGATATTATCTGGTTTTATATAATATTCATGGATCATAGTGATTCTTAATATTTTGTAACAAATCTCTGCACTTTACAGCCATCTTTACTCCGAACCTCAGATATATTCAACCGCCTTTTGAGATCTTTCCCTTGAGTCTTCATATGCATTTGCTCATTTGATTTTGACATATCACAAATTTTATTTTATTGATATCCTATGTTTTTGCCAGAGGAATTTGAAAAGTTGTGAAGTGGCTGGAAATACAGAATTTTAGAAATAATCCAACAGTCCTGATAGAATGCACAATTTTGTTAGGAGAACACTGAGACCCAAAGAAGGCTACTTGCAAAGAAAGCAAACTAGAGCCAATTTTACCTCACTTACAGACCAAAGTTCTTTCCAACATATCATCTTCATATTTCTCTGTATTATGGATTAAAAAAAGAACTCTATCCAGTTCATGAATCTGAATATAAGAAAGTTAAATTAAACATAAGTATCCAGTACTGTAATTAAAAAAAGGATATTGCCATATACTAAAGTTTAGTTTCAAGAATTTGGCAATAAATGTTCCTCTGAGTTAAATTGTTAGTTCTACAAAAATATTATTTTACCAGTGGTTACTAGATAATCATTAGATATATCTTTTTATAGGGTAGTCATATTTGCTCACTTTGATCATTTATTTCCTGCTTACTTCTAATGGTTTCCTACTGAAAATTTTAAAATCTTAATTGTTTTGTATGAGAAGGAAATTTCAAGTGTCCTTATATGCATTCTTTTTTAGAAAGCATACAATTAGAATGAATAGAGGATGGAAATTTGGAAATTTGAGATAAATTTGCACATATGACACATTGCCAAATATCCTAATTCATTTTAACAATATGTCCCAATGCCAGTTTTTTGTTCATGAGTCAGCCTTAATATGTATGGTCATTACAAGTATATAACCTTACGATATTATTTAATAATTCCTAAATTGTATTACTCTGGATTTTTGACGTGCAGGTAAACACTTAAAGTGACAGATTTCATTCAAATTAAAAATTTAGGGACACCTGGGTGGCTCAGTTGATTAAGCGTCTGCCTTTGGCTCAGGTCATGATCCCAGGGTCCTGGAATTGAGCCCTGAGTCGGGCTCCCTGCTCATCGGAGAGTCTGCTTCTCCCTCTGCCCTTCCTCCTGCTCGTGCTCTCTCTCTCTCTGAAATAAATAAATAAAATCTTTATAAAAAAATAAAATTAAACTTAAAATTTAGTTTTTAACAGCAAGTCTGTTTTTCTATGTGGGATCAAAATGATATTTCTAACAATATTCCGTATTGTGCCTTGTGTGAACCAAGGAAACTGGTATTCTATCTTGACTATTTATTTCTCTCTATTTAGAACGAGTTTGAATATCCATTTCTGAACACCAAAAGTCTAATATGTTGCCAAAGCACATTTGTAAGCCATGAGTAAGAGAGAAACATTCAACCACAGTGTAGATTTGAACAATTTCCATGACAAAAGAATGGTTCCTAACTCTCCTCTTGAGGAGGAACAGAATTATTTTCCTTCTGTAGGTCTATTGACATTCTAGGATGATTTTATTTCCACCAATAAGGGAACCATAAACAATCACTGAAAGAGGAGGTTTCCATGATGTCACAATGGTACCATTCACTGATAAGGTGCCCATAAATTAGAACCTGTAAGAGTACTATCTGCCTAATACATGTACAATAAAATGTTATTGAATTAAATGGGCAGTCATGAAGGAGAGAAACAAGTTTATTTATGTTTTTGTAGGGCATGGCTAACTCTTAACTTCTCATTGCAACTGGACAGTTCTGTGGTCCTGACAGCCATATTGTTTATCTGACAAAGCATATCAATATTGGTATCTCCAGCTGTCAGTGGTACCTCATACACTGAGAGTCTCCAGATGTTGCTTCTTTGGTCAGCGTATTCATTTTCTAGGGCAGCCATAACAAAATACCACAGACCGGGTGGCTTAAACAAGAGAAATGTATTCTCTCACAGTTGAGAATGCTGTTAAGTCAAAGATGGAGGTCCCAGCAGGACTGGTTTCTCCTGCAGCCTCTCTCCTGGGCTTGCAGATGTCACCTTCTTGCTGCCTCTTCATATATTGTTGATCCTCCGTGCACACACTTCCCTGGTGTGTGTTCTTCTTTTTATAAGGTCATGTTGGATTAGTGTCCCATTCTAACAGCCTCATCTTAACCACCTCTTAAAGAACTTATCTACAAATACAGTTACATTCTAAGGTACTAGGGATTGGGACTTCAACATATAAATTTTGAGGGAACACAATTTGTCCCATAACAGTCATATTCAATCTACTTCGCTTAATCCTACACTTCATACCTATGTACCATCAAATACCATTTTTCCTGCCCTATCCCCTAACCCCTTAGATTAGTAAGAGATGCATTAAAACATTAAAGAATAGTACCTCCACATTTTCTGTCAATATTCACACTTCTAGTCGGAATAGTTTTAGGGGAAAAAGTTCTGTGAATTGAAAAAGGAATCCAATCTAATGTGAACTATTTATTTGCAAGATCTACTTTGAAAGTAAGGTCTATATGGAGAAAAAGCAATACTTTATCAACTGAGAGTCAGCACAAAAGTACAGATTTCTTGCATGAATCACTTGTTCCCCTTACTTTGAACAAGCCCCAAAGCGTACTCTGACACTGAAAATGACTTAGAGTTCCCATACCCTTCCTCATTTTTTACCTTTCTTCTGTTTCTACAATGGTAGGCACACATTTCCCTGAAGGTATCCTATCATGTATATGGACAAAGAAAAGTATGTAGTCAAAAGTGATTAATGTCACTTCCTGAGACCTCTGTCCCTCGGGGGATAGAGTACCTGATTCAGAGCACATGATTGCTACATATATACAAATCCCAAAGAACAGCCCAGATGCATATAGCTCTGTAATCTTGGGCAAATTGCTTAAATCTTCTGTGTAATCCTTGCCTATTTGCTTTCGGTACATTCTTGCACTTCATTGCTTTGCTCTGAATCACGGAAAGAACTATCCTTGCATGTCCCATGCTCTCTGGCTTCAGAATGGATTTGGCATAGGTGGGGTATTGGAGGGTGAGAGAAAAAGAGAATCCAGGCTATTTCTCCTTCTCCTTCCTCTCCCCTTGGGCAGCTTCTCCTTGGGCTGTAGCTCTTCAGTGGGTCCAGCTCTCACCAAACTGGCCTACCCTGGTTCAAGGTCCTCCTGGTGAGGTGGGTCCCTGAGCTTTGGAAATCTTGACTCCTTCCAACACCCCCCCACACACATTGAGAGTCATAATGATTTCTTGCTGTTGCCAAACTGGTTTAACTCCCTGTCTCTGTTTGGCTTCTTAGTTCTTTCATTACCGATATAACCAATTCTTTGGATTAAGTATCCCTTGATTTAAATATTGAGGGAGTATTATGTTTTTCTGACATTACCTTTACTGACATATGTTCTCTGGGTCAGTTCTGTCATCTATAAAATGGAGAATAAAAAATATAGGGCTATTTTGATGATTAAATGATTAAGTACATATAAAGTAAAACACCATAAGGTGCAAAGTGAGTGCATAGTAAAAGTAAGCAAGTTCTTGCTTTTATTATAATTATAATTATTATGATTATTATTAGGTTTTCCTTGTGACCCCTACATTGAGAAGTTAAAACCCTTAGGTGAGCACCAAAAAGAGTTGGTCAACTGGGGTTGAATATTCTTAGTCTAGAAAAACAAGACATGAAGCAGAGTTAAATGAGGTCAGTTTACAGTATCTTACAGTCTAAGAAGATACTATTTCATTAACATTTCTGTAATAATTTAATATCAAATCATGTACAAAAGAACTTGCTTAGTTATTCCTAGGCAGCTACTTTACCACTAGTTTCAGACCCTTCGTGAATATTTTTGT